CCCCCCCCCCCCCCCGCTCCCACTGATTCTGGGAACATTTTGTATTAAATGGGAATGGGGGAGAATTTTATTCTTCTGAATTATCCAATGTTTACTCCACTGCAATTCAACAGACTCTTAGTGGCTTACATATACAATAAAACAAAAATGAAAAAAAAATACAGAGATATAAAAACCATAAAACAAGCAATACCAAACAGAGGAATCACAACCCAAACCCTGGAAAAGCTCGGATTCCATCTCCCAGAAAGTGATAAAGATAGGGGCAGACCTATCCTTAAGGAGGAGGCTATTTCAAAAGTCTAGCACCACCAAGAAACAATTCTGAGCATTGAACCCCTGACTTCCTGAAACTGGGGAACAATCAGTTGCTTCTCCCTGCATGATCATAATGGTCAGGCCAACTTCTGCAGGGAGATGTCCTGTAGGTAGTTTGGTTCCAAGCCATAAAGGGCTTTACAGGTTATCACTAGCACTTTAAATTGTACCCAGAAGCTAACAGGGAAGGGGTGCAAGGCTCACAGTACAGGGTCACATGCTCTCAGCGATAACTGCCAGTGAGCATCCAGGCTATTGTATTTTGTATCAGCTGAAGCTTCTGGATGGTTTTTAAAGGCAGACCCAAGTAGGCTGCATTGCAGTAGCCTAGATGTGTGGTGATGAGGGCAGGAGTCACTATTACAAGGACCCCTTATCCCAGGAAAGTCTGCAACTGAAAACCCAGTCAAAATTGAGCAATGACCCCCCCTGCCCATGACCTCTATCTGCTGCTCTAGCAGGAGCTGTGAGTCCAGAAGGACCCTCAAGTCATGGATCTGCTCCTTCAGGAGCAGTGCCTCCCTGTCCAAAGTAATCAGTGGATCTGAAAGAGAACCCCAATGCACAAACAGCAACTCTGTCTTACTTTGGTTCAGTTCCAACTTGGTCTTCTTGATCTAGATAGGACTTCAGCAGCATCCCCAGTATGGTCTGGGGTTGTGATATAAAGCTGGGCATCATTGGCATACTGATGATACCAAACCCCCAACTGCCAGATGAGCTCTCCCAATAGCTTCATTTAGATAGCAGAGGAGAGAGGACGGACCCCTGCAGTAGCCCACAGGGAAGTAGATCTCCCCTCTGCAACTATCATTGTCTGGTACAATCTGCTCAGCAAGGAGTGGAACACTCATTGTGTTTCCAATCCCCACCCCTTTGCAGACAGTCATAAAAAAGGTCACCTTTTAGAGTGACCAATGCCATCGTGGTC